TTTTGTGGAACACCTCGTGGCAAAATTTTCAGAACCTAAATACCGGTTTGCACTGTTATTCTTGTCAGGCAGCAAATCCTGGCTGCATATTAGAAGATTTTGTAAGATGGCACTCTCCTCCTGATTGGATGGAAAATGAAACAAATACTGAAGTGAACGAAACTTCTGATGGGGGTGACTTATTGTCTGTAAAAGGTCAACTTAGTAGGCGAATGAAGAAAGAAGGTAATTCTTTTACAGGGCCTTGCTTCCAAAAATTACTTCTCATAATACTCAATTAAAATCAAATGTAGGGCCATTTATCTAAGACATGACATCAGTCTTCTTATAGAAGATATTAACCAATTTTTAAAAATAAAATCTCAGATATTCAATCATATTCATCCTAGTGTCTACTTTGTAATTTTATTTTATTTATTTATTTATTTTTTTTAAAATTTACTTGACACTAGTTGGCGGTCAAACATTTTCACAGCAGGACTATTTGGTTATCTTCCATGACTCTGGATTTATGCCCCCTTTTTTCAGATTTTATGCATTTAATCCATGTTGATAAGAAAAATCGCATATTTAACATGAGTTAGGACATTGTAATTAAGTACTTCATCATGGAACGGGAAATTCAGCTGCTAGACGTTTTCAATGCAAGCTATGACGGGAAGTTGTTGGAAGTACTGCCTTCCTCTGCTGATGAAATGAAGGGCAAAGAGAACCCTGTCTGAAAGATGGTATTTAGTAAGACCATGCAACCTTGGATGTCTAGGATTTATTGACATGATTGTGTCATGTGGCAATATAGATTGATTCGACTTCCCTACTCTCTTAGATTTTGTGCTATCTTAATTCTGGTAGTCCTTTGTCATATATTGACACTGAACTATTAGGAAAAATTCAATTGGTCACTAAATTTTATCTTTTTTCGATTAGATCACTCAACTAAGGTTTGGGGAAGAAAAAAATTGAAGCTAGAAAGAAGATAGGGGTGACGGCGTTTGGGATGGGTGGTAGGTGGACCACAGTTACAGGGGGAAGACGATGGTGGCTGGGGGAGGGGCATTCTTCATGTCTTCTAGCTAGAGGCAGTTATGTACAAAAAATAAGTACTCATTACTTCTATTTTTTTAAGCTTTATGTTTAGATTTATTTTTATTTTTATTTTATTTTATTATTTTTTAAAAATAATTTCCATTTTTTTTAATACTGCATCTTCTTAATTTGTCATGTTTATTGTTGATCTGTCCTAGCTGTGGCAGCATTATTTGGTTAGTAGACTGCCACATCAACATTTCATTTGTCAAAATGTTTGAATATTCTTTGGCCCATAATATTTACTATTTTCAGTTAAAAAAATGAAGAAAATCTGATTGGTCATGAACAGAAATTTAATTTGTTTTCAGATATAGCATGGGTTTTCCTACTTCTGATCACGGTTGAAGAGAAGTTATCCATACATCCATATAAGGATATGTTTAGACCTCAATACTGATATTTCAAATGCTTACCGTTATTTAGGAATGTACTTTCATTTGGAAATGGAAGCAAGAAATACTATTTTCTTAACCCTGTAATATAACTATGTCTGAAGCTGAAGATACATTGAGGGTGCGTTTGTGGATTCCATAGTTGTTTTCCTCTCTTTTGGCATTTGATTAACCATAATCTTTTGCAATGAATGATAAATGATAAAGCAAAATTGAGGTCCAGTAGTTTTTAGAATGAATTCAAATATTTGACAGAATCCGGATGGTTTCATATTTGTGTGACTGAAATACATTATAATCAGAAATGAAGTTTCTTGCCAAGTCGATATGGCAGATGGAATATTTAAAGTACCTAATAACTATAGATATCACAACCTTGCTGATGCTTCATTTCTGATTGATGCATAGGTAATTTGTGGCGCGAACTATGGGAAACGGCAAAACCAGTACCAGCTGTTAGACAAACTCCCCTTTATGATGAGGATCTGGCTGTGTAAGCTCCAGGAAAATATCAATATCTGTATTTGGATTGTGATTAATAAGACTTATTGACCACGATCACGTGACAACTGTGCGTAGGGATGGTATTCTGGACTTTCTGGAGGACATTTCACCTTCTCATCTATTGAAACAGCTCTTTATTGCTGCCGTAAGTCCTGCACTTGAAGTTTTTGTTGCTTAATTGTCCTACATTTTACTTCATCTGTATCGAAGAGAGAAACTATCGTACCTCATCCTATATTCCATTCACTGGTCTCATAGGCCTATAATCTTAAAGCAGATTAGTAAACTAATCAAATATGTTGGATGGCTCGTTTGCATCACTAGTCTGGATGAGTGTTTTTATTTTATTTTTTTATTTTTTTTTTATTTGGTGCATCACATGTAGCTTATGTTTTATAAATAAGATATATCATTTCATGGATGAGTACAATTAATGCAGGAGATGAGAGAAAAGTAGAGCAATTTAACATGACCTGTGAGTTATCACAGTGAATCCTTCAGGATCAAATCAATTTGTTCTAGATTTAAAATGCTTATTTATCATATTAAGGAGCATTCACCAGTGAGCAACTAGATAGATGTTATTGTAGACTGCAAATATGTGGTGGGATGTAGGTGTTGGATCTGCCGTCTAATAGATAAGCTTACATTTCCTCGTGGGTCAAACCTCAATTAACTTTAAAACATATGAGTTTGAGCTTCCAACTTAATTAAATTAAACAAATTGTATAGCTGCACAGGCCATTCAGTATCGGGCTGCAGAACATTCAAGGGATAGTTCTTGGGAAAATTGTAAACACTGACCAGGGATATTACTGTGTACAAGCTCTGTTTGTAAAGCTAACCAAACTGTATATTGTTTTGTGAAGTCTTAATAATACTTGAATCTTCATCTTTGGAAGGGTACTTTTATCCACCATGTTTTCTTTTGTGTTGTGTAACCAATACCTTTTTGAAGAAACTAATATATTGTCTGCTTTTAAAGGGGGGGAAAAACTTACATATTTTAGCGAAGAGCTTGATATTGGCTTTTAGTCACTTGGTGCTAATAAAGCCCTATTACAAGCACTCTCGTTTCAGCTGCAACCATTCTACCATGTTTTACTATTGCATTTAGTAATGTAGTGGTTCTTCTGGTGTCATTTCTTGCGACTACGCACTCCACCTTGTATAGTCACTTTGCTTGTAAATGGTTTCTAAATCATACTAAAGCCATTTTATCAGCTGCTAAAGCCATTTTATCAGCTGCCGAAGTCTGATGTTCTGAAATTTCAGTTGGGTGCAGGACTAGTAATTGCGGAGGCCAACCTCTCGACAGACTCAAGTTTGTCAAAATTGTTCCACGAGTGCAGAAACTATATCGTTCAGAGTTGTCAAATGGGTACCTGGGTTGAGAAACTCGATGATATATGCCAGGTAATATTTATGCAGCCAAGTGGGAGATAATTTATTTTGTTAGTATTCTTGGACACGCGCTGTTGTTACGAATCGGGATAATGCGATTCAGTTATATCTGCAGTAAATCGTTATGGCATGCGATATTGTGATTCACTTCTTGAAAAGTACGGCATTATTTTGTTCACTACTGAAATTAACGAATTTAAGGTTATATCAGCACTCGCAATTCTTTACCCTTTTTATGATTGTTTAAGTTTCGATTTTAGGTTTATGATTCAGTGGAGACGATGTTGCTAAATCCCGATGAAGTTATTAAGATGACAGCTCAATCTGAAGAAACCACGACTGCAGGTGACATACGGAATCGTTTCAAGAGACTTAGCTTGATCTTTGGCGGCAAAAGTAAACACTCGTCAAAAGCTCCCTCGAAAGATTCGAAGAACAATGATCGCCAACCATTCTCATCAATATTTTCAGAGAAGCCCCCAAAACCCAGTGCTTCTCCGGCCGATAAACCTTCTAGTTCAGTTGAAAATGACTGGACAATTGTTTAAACATGAAATTGTATATATTTTTTTCAATATAAGAAAACTGAAATAAATGTTCAGAATTCTGTCTTCCTATGTGTCTTAAAGGAAATGAGAAATGGAAAAGCTCTTTGTACCATGGATTTATGCCTCCTCCCTCTTGTTATCGTTTGTATTTTTATATATATGGTTGGGAATTTCAACCCCCGTCAGGCTTTCTCAGTGACGCCCGAAAACTCACTAACATTGTGTTGGGGTTTTACATCAAAAGAAAAATAAATTACATGTATTTATGTTTATTTTCCAACTCGTTCCGCACACAAGTTGAGTTTTATAGAAGGCTGAGGAGACATGTCGATGTGACGAAACAAAATAGATTACACATTTGTCTCCTTCATTCTCTTTGGATAGGAAGACTACAATTATGAATAATATTAGCATCATTTCTTGACATTGTCTAATTAGACAAGGATAATTATATTTTTTGGTTGAATCATATGTTAATTTCAATGAAGGCCCAAAATTTAAGTAATTTATGTTGGATTTTATTATTTTTTTGCTTATTTAAAATATGAGGGACTGGAAAGTCTTTTTATGCACCTGAATGAATATTTTGGACAAAAACCATTACTAAATAAAAATATATTAATTAGTACGAGGGATAAGTAAGCCTTTTTATCTTGAATTTGATTTGACGGCATTAGTAGATGCCATACATTATGGTTAGAAGCACTTCTTTACGTACAGATGGAGGCACACGGAATTGATCCAGACAACTCACAGTGAGGGGTTGGGAGATTTTTTTTGGCATTTTTTTTATCAAAACATGGGCCCCACACACATGGGAGTATTCTGGTGGGTTGGGAATTAATTCAAATTCAGGGTTTCGTTTTGACTTGGTATTTTTTGTTGCTATTATTTAGGAAGTAAGTTGAATCTTTATGTTCTAGATTTGAGGATAATCTGTTCTATACAGATCATGCCCACTAAGTATTTGTTGTTATGTGCCAATAAGTTCGGTAGAAATATTAGGGAGTAGTAGCCACGTTTTTGTAACTGCAAAGTGTTTAATGCCTATTTAAACACTTGGAGTCTTTAAACAGAGGTTGAATTTCAGTCAATAAAGAATTCTCTTCACAATATTTTCTTCTATTCTTTTTACTAAGATTTCTACACTATCAAATTTGGTATCAGATCCAGGTTCAGGGAATTAAAGTTGTGAGTGATCAAACGCATCCACTTATAAATGGCGTCTACTAGTGGCGCACCAAACTCATCTCAGAATATCCCTATCTTTACTGGACTTAACTACCAGTTTTGGCATATCAAGATGAGGATTCTATTTCTGTCCTATGATTTATGGGACTTGGTTGACAATGGTTTTGATGATCTTGCAGATGCAGAGAGGCTAACTGCTGCTCAATGTAATGAGTTGAAAGAAAAGCAAAAGAAGGATGCTAAAGCTCTAGTCTTAATTCAGCAAGCACTAGATGATGCCATTTTTCCACGAGTTATGGCTACCGCAACATCGAAAGAAGCTTGGGATTTACTTGAAAAGGAGTATCAAGGAATAAACAGTGGTTACAAATGCTGTAAACTCTGATATCATTCCATCATCAGCTGTTGTGAGACAATTGGCTGTGGCTATCGAGTAAGATCTTGTGATGTTTGGAACTTCCTCGATTTTTGTTTAGTTTTTCTGATTATTTACTTACACAATTTTCAGGGTTAGAATCATTGAGTTTTATTGTCTCAACTTCCCTACTTCGTTAGATTGTATTTAGAACTAGTCAACTCATCTTTATTTATGTGCTATTATATGGAGAAACATTTGGTTTGTACATGTTAAAGCTTCCTATATTATGAAATAATTATTTAAGAGAATCATTCTCTCTCCAGCTTTCTGGATTAATTGATATGCAAAATCTATTTATTCTAATTTCATGAAATGGTTGCCAATGTATTGAAATTCTTACATGTTCATTAAGTATGTTTGAAAGTGGCTATGGTACTTAGTTTTCCTTTGGCACCTTTTCAGTGCTGGATTAGTGTACAACTCCATGAAGGATCTCCTTGCTTCTTCCAGAGGCTCTTCACCTATCAGAGAGAGAGCTAGCTTAAGCTTCTCAGCAATGAAGTCAATAGTATTACGTGAAAAAGAAGATAGGATAGCCAGTGAGTTTGGTGCTGATGAGAGAGTTCTTTCTCTAATCAATTCACTGCTAAATGCAGGTAGATAGTCGGGATACTCTGGAGTCTGGAGAGCATCTTCTTTCTTTGTGTCTTGTCTTCTGAAAATTCTGATTCACTATTTTTAGTTTTGCATTATTCTACGATGATCTTCGCTTTTAGTTTAATTTATGCAAGATATTTGTAGGACATTTTTTGGGGAGGACTTGCTCTAGTTTGGAAGAAGA